AAAAAAAAGTTCAGATTCATTTTATCACTACCTACAGAAAGACCCGGGAACGCTAATGCAATACCATTGGATTCCACATTGCTTTGGTCAAGAAGCATATACCGTGGATTCCATTGTGGAGTAAATTTTCGAATAATTCTTAATGCTGACGCAACAGCCTCACTATTTTCTTTATTAACAAAAAAATAGGCACCAACGTTCTAACTGCCACAGCCATCGCGGATATATAAAGTAAATAAATGCCACCCATGCTTATTAGTATTATGTGTAGAATCTATTAGTGTTAACTAACCATAACGTATTAAATTTTCTATTTGCCAGGAATTTGCGAAGCATAAACCTCGCGAACGCTCAAGTGATTCTTGCATTTGAAAAGACTCAACTTGATAATTATTTTTTATTAAAAATTCGGTTGTACTTAAAAAATCGAATTTTAAATTCGCATTTCTAATAAGATGTGAATTCATTGAACCAACAAGTTTCTGCTTGATATTAGTGACCTCCTTTGTTTTTAGATACTCCATGCCCGAATCTTCATACAATTTCGAAACCTCTTTCCTAACAATATTTGCAATCATCGGGGGTTTGTAGTCTTTAATTGCCTTGTTGCCCACCATATCCCTAATAAATTTTGCCCGTTTACACATATCACTTTCTTCCATCAAATGGCTATGATCAGGGGCATCATTTACCTGTAAACAATTTTTTTTTTAATTTATTGTAATAAAAAATATTACATTACAATGTTTTAAATAATACTATTCTTATTCTTACTCTCTCAATTGTAACCATATTCGATACCACTAACCACGTTATTTTGATTTTAGCTTCACAATTCACAGCATCTCTTTTCCAGGTTATGCGAAGCTTTTCAGGAGGGAGGTTTTCTTTCTTCCGCTTGATTCCTTAGATTTTGAAAGTTTACAAACGAAAGTTTTACGCTCATCACCATTATTTAATATATAACCATTGAGCCTTGTCCAAAAGTTATTAACAAGTGCCTACTGCTTGTTGAAGTCCTCAATAGAAAGGTTAAATGTTTCGTTCACATTAAAAAACGTTCTCAGATGGTTGACATTGCTATAGTGGTAGCCACGGAGTTATAATCGATCAAGGTTTGTCGTTACTATATATATTTTTTTGGTGGGTTTTTTTTTCTTGCTTTTTTTTTTTAATTTTTTTTTTCTTTTTTATAATTAATTTATTTGCTGCAAAACTGTTTTTCGCATGTGCCATGGAGTTTTGTTATAGCCGGAAATTGCTTGTTTGCTGTTTAATCGCTTGCTGTTGCCGTAGGTTTGTTCTTGCTGTTGCCGTAAGTTTGTTCTTGCTGTTGCCGTGGTTCATTCTTGCTATTTGCCGTAGGTTTTTGTCACAACTAAAAGCTACTCATTTGCAGGGGTTTTTTTTTTTTTTTGTTAGAACTCACTTATTTGTAGAGTTCTTTTTATATGTATAAGTTTATTTGCCAGTTGCAGAGTTCTTTATATAAAGTTTATTATTACAAAAATTTATTAGTTATAAGTTTCCTGAATCATTTTTCTTTTGCTTTATAACACCCAA